TTTCAATTGCTGATAAATCACCTCGACGCTTGGACTTGTCAGAACGGCAATTGTGAATAAAACGCAAGATGTAACCTTGAACTCGTATTAACTTATTAAGCGCTGAATATCTATTGAATATTTCTGGGATTTCTTGCTGTACGGCTGCAGCTGTTGTCGTCCCCCTCGCTTCAGGTATCTCTTGCTCCGTTAACCAATTCTTAATGCACCATTCAGTTACATTCTGTGCAAGCCATGCCGGGCCATGCCACTACAATTCAGTGGAAAGTAATAATGATGGTGACATGCCTCTTGAGATGATGTCCGCAGGATTGTGTGAAGAATGCACGTAGAACCAATTATTTGTATCGGAGATATCTTGAATGGCGCTCACGCGATTTGCTACAAAGGTGTTCCACCTCCTAGGAGGCGCCTTTATCCATGACAGTGCTATTGTAGAGTCCGACCAATAATAGACATGTGCGAATGTAATGTTTATGGACTCTAGTACCTTGTGCATTAACTGCGCTAGTAATAATGCTGCACACAGTTCAAGGCGTGGCAAAGACAGATTTTTCAAGGGTGCGACCCGAGACTTTGCACACAGTAGATTCACCTTGTACTGGGTTTCTGAAAGTTTGCTTCTAACGTAAATGCAAGCTCCGTACGCTCTCTCGCTGGCGTCGGCGAAGCCGCATAAATCCAATTCTTTGTTATTGTAGTGAATAACCTTTCGTGAAATTTGAACTTGATTTAGAATAGGAAGTTCTGCTTCGTATCGAGCCCACTGCGTTTGGATGTCGCTGGGTAACGTCTCGTCCCAGTCAACCTTGAGTTCCCATAAGCGTTGCATGAAAATCTTTGCAGTAGTGATGATTGGTCCTAAAATTCCCAATGGGTCGAAAATGTGAGCGATAGTTGACAGAATGCTCCTCTTCGTGATCTTCGATTGCCTTGGCACAGTGATGTCAAATTGCAGCATGTCGTCTTGAGAATTCCATTGCAGACCTAGAGTATGTAAACTTGTGTTCTCGCTAATGTTTAGAATGAAGTCTGTGGCCATTGTGGGAATGTCATCCAGAACTGCTTGTTCATTAGATGCCCATTTGCGTAAGACGAAGCCTGCTTTGCCTAATATTAGGTTCACTTGATTGCGTATTTTAATAAGTTCTTCAATGCTATCAGCGCCGGTCAAAAGATCATCTACATAAAAGTCAGATAGAATCCTTGAGGCTCCTACCGGTGCGTTGTCTTGTTCTAGTCTTGCTATTTCTTGTAAGGATCGTATCGCGAGGAATGATGCTGATGCTGTACCATATGTCACGGTAGCCAGTTCGAAAGTTTGTACCTCCCTCGTCTTACTGTCTCGCCATAAGATTCTCTGCAGTCTCCGTTGAGATTCATCGACTAAAATCTGACGGTACATTTTTGTTACGTCTCCTGAAAGAACGTATTTCCACATGCGAAATTTGATTAAAATAGAAAACAAATCCGGTTGCAAAGCTGGTCCTACCATGAGGACGTCATTTAGAGAAACTCCGGTGTCTGTCCTGCATGAAGCATCGAAGACGACACGAGTCTTCGTGGTGGTGCTTGTATTCTTGAAAACCGCATGATGTGGCATGTAATATGATACGGTTGTTTCTTGAGAATCTACCTTAATGGGATGCATGTGCCCAAGCTCTATGTATTCTTGCATGAATTGTGTGTATGCTGTCTTCATTTCAGGATGACGACTCAACCTGTTTTCAAGTGCATGGAAGCGTTTCAAAGCAACGTCGTAAGAACGTCCTAATGTTTGCAATCCATTCTTCTTAATGGGTAATTTTACTATAAAATGACCATCATCAGTCCGACGGTAATTTTCTTTGTAATGTGCTTCACATTCTCTCTCTTCAGTCGTGAGTGATGAATCGGAAGAGATCTGTTCAGTTTGCCAAAACCTCTCAATAGCCTGTTCTAGGCTGACATGACTTGTTGCTATATTGCACTGGATTGTTTCCATGGGTATTGTGTTGTTTGGATATCTTCCACTCAGTACCCATCCAAAAAGTGTTTTCTGAAGTAACGGATGTTCCGCTGTTTCCTTGATTTGTCCAACGCAAAGAGTGCCTCAAAATAATTCTGCACCTAGTAATATATCAATGTCCTTTGACTGATTGAATTCTGGATCCGCAATGGGTAGATTTGCTGGTAGCTTGAAGTTGGTTTTGTCCATGCTGATAGTGGGTAAACGTTCGGTGATCTTCTTCAAAATCAAGCAATTGATGATGATATTGTATGCGTAGAATCTTGAACTTAACTGTACTTGAGTCATTCGTTTGACCTGACTGCACGCATGATTCACCCCGACAATCGAGATGTCAATAGGCTTCACTGTAAGGCCTAAGCGTTGTACTAAATCTTCAGTTATAAAGTTTGCTGCGAAGACTGCGAACCTGAGTCAAGTAGAATGCGACAAGTTTGTTTGTTTCCTTGGCAATCGCGAGTGTTGACCAGTGCCGTTGACAAGAAGACTTGCGACGTAACGTTCGACATTGTCGTGTGTGCAACATTGGTTGTGGATGCGTTTCCTTGTTGCGTTGTTGTCTGATTTGAAGATTCCGAGACCTTAGTTTCTGATTTGTCTCCGGAAATATGAAGTAATGAATTGTGCCGTTTTCCACATGTTTTGCAATTGCCGTACCTACAATTCCTTGCTGTATGTGATGAGGCCTTTAAGCAATTCCAACATAATTTTGCCTCCTTGATGAAGTTCAGACGATCCTCTGGTGAAAGATCCAAAAATTGTTTGCATGAATATATCTGATGATCTTCCTTGCACCTTTGACATGATGCGGTTTTGGTACTAACGAGGGCCGATACCTTTGCTTGTCCGACCTTAACTTGCGTCTGCAATGAAGAACCTTTTCTGTTGACAGCCTCCAATGTGTGACATGGATGCTCCAAAAACTCTGTTAAATGCTACAGGGTGGGAATGTCATTTCCTGTGATGCTATCTTCCCATTCCTTATTGGTATTGTGATCTAGTTTGCCGGTTACCAAATGTATGATGGGATCGTCCCATGAATCCGTTAGACGGCCCATCGCCTTTAAGGCCCTTATGTGCTTGAGAACTCCGTCCACTAACTGACAAAGAGCGTTAAAATTCTCCTTTGTAATGGATGGTAACTCAAACAGTGCTCTGAGATGCCTTTGAATAATGAGACGCTTGTTGTCATATCGCTTTATCAACATTTGCCATGCTTGCTCATAATTGTCAGCCGACATTTCGAGTGACTGAACCAATTCAGCAGCCTTTCCTTTGAGTGACGCCTTCAAATAATGAAATTTTTGAATTTCATTTATTGTACGATCTCTGTGGATAAGTGACTGGAACGTGTCATGGAACGGGTACCGTTCCTCATAGGATCTTGAAAATGATGGCAAGTCAATTTTCGGTAATTTTAAACTAGTACCTGACGCTCGATTGCGATCGATGTTTGCAGGGCGCGTTTCAGTATCCGTGTTTGACGTTGCATCGCGAGAAACAATTAGCTCTTGAAACCTTGACGTAATGTCATAATACGTCTCCTCGAACTCCTTTCTGTCGAGTTCGTGAGTCTCGAGCATGTCTGCCGAATCTAGCAACTCTTCAATTTCCTATTGCACTTCGTCGAATTGCGACCACGTGGTTTCAATTTTGGCTTTACGCTCTGATAATTGTGCTGTATTGAGCTCGCTGATAACATTTGAAGCAAGCGTGTTGTGAGCCCTTGTGCATAATGCTTTTAACTGACCTCTACGAATTTTTAACCTCTTTAACCTATCCTCCATGTTTTGACGATATTGTGAAATGCGAGGAAAACTAGGTAATGTAGGTAAATGAGCAGAATTTTGGAACTTACCGACTTACCGACTGTGTGCGACTTACGACCTCTGTGAGTGAAATCCTTTCACTATGGCGCGCCTTTGGAAGAATGCTCTATTTTGAATGTAACGGTCGCTGCGACCTCATGAAATGCCGATTCTTCGTCACTTCTCTAATATGCCTTGTTGGTCGGCGATTTGGCTTCACTGACCTCAGACTACCTTGCCTTGTTCGTGCAAGCTCACTTGCTGTCCAGATGGACTGGTATCCTTGTGCTCGAATGTTCTCGATTATGCGTATCACGAATGCCTTTGTTTGATACTACTTGTGAATGTCCCTATATCCGTCTCGAAGGACCATATGTTCTTGTCACGCGAGGATTATAAATAATTTAACAACTCGCGGCGTTATCTTCAGTTGTAGAAAATAACTGCTTTATTTATTGAGAGAACTGCCTTGCACGCAGCTTCTTACATGCTCAGCCATCTTGGTTCTACTACTACTACATAACTATATATAATAGAGAGGCGACAATCTTGGTCGCGCCATCTAGTAAGGGTTTGTGGCAGCGCGGTAGGTTCCGGAAAGACCCTTCATAATCAAACACAAACAAACTTTTTTGTTAATATTGACTTTGGACTTAAATTTTAGCGACTTTCATGTATTAGATGTTGCTAACATATTCCTCAAGAGTTCTGTGTAAAAATTTAAAGTCTTCATATGCATTTATATCCGAGCAATGTTAATTTAAAAAAAGTTATTCCATAATCCATGCTTTTACCATATACATATATATATATATATA